CCCTGCCTGCCCCATCCCCCCCGTCTGCCCCATCTTTCTGCTCCATCCCCTCCCTCTGATGCCCAGGCCCCTCTGGCACAGGCTGTGTGGGTCCACCCTCCATCGAGAAGGCACCGCCTTCGAGGGCGCCTCTCCTGCACACATTGTTGAATCATCGTTTCCTCCTCTCTACCAAGGAGGCTTCTTTGAAGAGCGAACTGTCCCTTCATTAAATGGATGTGTTACTGACTTAACCTTGAGTCAAACATAAAGGCTCTTGTTGTGAGCAAGGTCAGGCCACCAACGCAGAGCCCTAGTGTTTGGATCCGGGTCCCGTCGCCCTGGTGTGCGGCAGGTCACCACGTCCCTGTCATGAGCGCTCTCCTCTGACCCTGGGTGACAGGTCTCCAAGCCGCCTGGTGCCTCTCCCCTGGGGCGTGTAAGGAGCTGCTCCGCGGTGCTCTGGGTTTCAGGAGCGCCGTCTGCATGGGCCACCTCACGTGAGCGGCACTGAGCCGTTTGCTTGCCACGGTGTAGTGGAGGCCAGGGCCACGCTCATCCTGAACCAGCCACGTGACGAGAAGCGAGAGGGTGGTGCTGTCACACTTTGCGCCTTTTCCCTTTATCGCCGACACAAGTGACACTAAGGAACAGATGGCTCCGATGCCCTGTGAGCCCTTTCACAGACTTAGCACGAGAGGCGGGGGTCTGGGAGGGGGCAGTGGCCTTCGCCCCACGGGGGCACGAGGGGATTCGAACCGTGGGCCTTCTACCCTGCAAACGCTCGGGGCCTCTCAGCCACCGTTAGCCAGGGACGCGGGCAGTTACCTGGGCATGAGCTATCCAGCGGTGACCGGATTGCCACCTGCACCGACAGGTTTGCAGTGTTAATGCCCCGTTTGAACAACCAGTGAGGTCAGGTGATGACTTCATCGCTCCTGACCTTGGCCACACTGTAACGCGGACCTTGGAGGAGACGGTGTCCACGTTCCAGTTTCATCCAAAGCCCCAACTGCCCCAGCTCCCTGGCTCCGCCGTCATCTACTTTCACTCAGGAGAAGTTCTTTTATGACGCAGCACTATACCGCATTCTTTATGTTTCATAAAGCAGGTGGGAATTCATTCACGCACAAGGAAATGTGCCGCCTTTAGCTCATAACATTTCTTCTGTGTGCGTATCTGTGGTTACGTATGCATAGCCTTCTGCCCCTTAGCATTATAAACGTTAAGCGGAGTGAAAGTAACTTTAAAATATTGCATATATTTTATTTCTAGTTTATATTCAGTCAGATCTTAACCACAGGATGAACTGAGTTCCACCTTAGTTTGCCTGTCGGTGGTTGAGAACTTGGCAGCATGTTCCTGCTCAGGCAGGAGTACAGATTGTGGTGAGGTCACCTGTGGACCGTGATGTCACAGAGGTGGGCTATACATTTAGAAAGGGAAAGAAATACATAAATAAAATGGAACATAGTTTTAAAATTGATTTAAATTATGTTGAATACAGATTTAACTTGATTTTCTTTCCGAGGTTTTTTTAGGCTGTCAGGGGGAGTTTCAGTATATTCATGACATTCTGTTAGCTTAATTCTCGTTGTAAGAACAGTATACACTTATAGGAAAGAATATTTATGCCTGGCCAGTGTGGTTCAGTGGTTGAGCATCGACCTATGTGACAGATCACAGTTCTATTCCCAGTCAAGGGCACATGCCCAGGTTGCAAGCTCGATCCCCAGTGTGGGGCATGCAGGAGGCAGCCGATCCTCTCTCATCATTGATGTTTCTCTGTCTCCCGCTCTCTGAAATCAGTGAAAACATATTTTCTTTAAAAAGGACATTTTCACAAAGAACACAAAGGTAAAAACCACCCGCGTCTTTCAAACTCCTGTCCCACGCCCTGAAGATAGGCTTGGCAAGTTTCTTTCCTGGAGATTTCAGGGAACATCACCCACCTCCATCCAAACTACACTCCATAGTCCTTTGCCGTCTCCGTTCTCTTTTACTGTTTTCCCAGCTGCCCTCACCCCTCAGAGACTCACCTTCCCTCACTCTCAACTCTTTATGCTCAGACTGTTCCCGTGGGCTCTCCCCCTTCCTCCTCTCCTTTCCCTCCTGTCTCCCTTCTTGTCTGCCCTGGGGAGACACTCAGTCCCAGGCCTCGTCTGTTAAATATGCCGAGTGGGGGGCAGGGGGCGATGGGAGGCGAAGACGAGACTTCTCCTTAGTGGGCAGAGAGGAAGAAGCAGGGTCACTCCCTGTCCCCTCTGCACCTGACAGCAAATGTGGACGTCTGTCCAAAGCAGGTCCTCGGCGTCCGCCTCGTTCTGCATAAGGGACGCACAGTGTGTCATCTCAGGACGACTCCATGGTTGGTAGACCTGCCCTGCGTTTCCCTTCATGTTCACAGTGTCAGACAGCCCAATGGTTAG